AATTATGATGATTTAAAATATTCAAAGTGAAAAGTTAACACCCCTTTCAAGGGGGAGTTTCCTTTCATTTGGATATTCAGACCTGATGATCCAACAATCCCACAGAAGGATGAAGAAGTGGATAATAAGAAGACCCTTTGTCAAAGTCACTTGAGTCTTAGGATTAGAAATATGGACTTGTTGTTAGTGCTACTTAGCTAATTTATTTTTTTTGTAGACCCTGGGTTGTAATATTAAAAGGCACTTGCCTATGAATATTTTATTTATTTAATTTATTTAATTATTCATTTGATTGCTTGATATTGATTGTAAGGTAGGATTGCATGCATTTAGTAGTTTTTTTCTGCGATCTTGTATGTAAACTTTGATTTAGCTTAGAACCCAATTGGAGGCTCATGAGTGATCATTAAAATTTTTCTACTTCAATTAAATTTAAGTTATTTAAGCTAGCATAGTAACTCTAATAATTTTAAGAAGTATGTCTAAGACCACCAGGAGTTTGCATAGCATGTCATTGCATCTTCATCCTTTGTTACAAATCTTCCAACAGGTTTTGGCAGACCACCTGGCTTATAAGGGTGCAAATCTATCAAGGGGAATCTATACAATCCCTAGAAAAAAAAATCAAATTTTAAGCTTTTTAAAGCTGCTTCATTTTAATTTTAAGTATTTAATGAGTCAACTAGTATAATTTGCATTAGAATTAATATAAATTAAGTCAATATTTTAATTTCATTTAACTTCAAGTTTCAAATTACCCAACATAAGTTAAGGGAAGAAATAAGGACCTGCTCTAGATGTCAGCCCCTCTTTTCTTAAACTTAATTTAATTAAATGACTCTATCACTCTTACATAAAAGATAAGATACATAATTTTGAAATGCCTAGGTGATTTAGTTAGCTCCCCAATCTAAGCTGGGGTAAATCTAGATTCTTCTTTGAATTAGTAAAATTCTTATCACTCATTTTTAGTACCCAATTTAGACTTAGGTTATAAGTTAGGCTCAATATATAATACCTAAACCATTGGGAATATAATATCAACCTTTTAATAAAATTAACCAGTCAAACTTAAATCTCTTTCAATCGAATTCGAGCCTAATATTTAGGATAAACTAAGGCACTTCTAAATTATTTCAGAATTATAGGAGCCTATTACCCTTCCTCCTTTGATTCCAAAAATAAGTATTCAAATTTGATCCAGTCCAGATTAAAATTTTAATCCTTACCTCCTTTGACACCAAGCTTTAAAATCATAAGAAAAATTTCTTTTGCTATTTTAATCAAGAGTATTTATAGGAAATTTTGGTTTTCTTATGATGTAATTAACTTTGAGAGCTTATGCTTATAGGAGATTTAGAAATTCAAATCAATTTTTAAAAAATTAAAAATTTCAAAACATCAATTAATTATCTTTGGAAAAATCAAACTCAACTATAATTATCAGCCTTTTTAAACAATCGATAGTGATTGATACATTCTTTCCTTGGAGAGATATATCAATTGCTATTATAATATTGATTATGAAGTTAATGATCCCTTTGTCCATATTAACATTGTCAAACACTCAATCAAATTTCATTTTGACCCTCCGGGATCATATGATATTCTACATAGAGTTTAACTATGATAATTAGGATGAACTTAAAGTTTTGAAATTTAAACCCATTAGGGAATGATATGTTCAACTTTGAGGTGATATATCATTCATAATGACAGTTTAATTTTAAAATAATAAATTTTATACATTAAATTCTCCCAAAGATTATTAATTTTTTTAAATACCACTATTTTTAATTAAATAGCCGCAAACACTTTCATGCAAATTGATTGGCAGGTTGTTGTATTCACTTGCATACCAGCTTCATGTGCATAGAAGGTTGTTGTATGTATATACAAGCCAATTAGAATTTATTGGAGAGATACCGTTATATTTATTATGAACCTCTTGAGTTCATTTATAGGTTGATAATCATATTGCATCCATTTGTATATAGCTTGATGTTATTCAAAAAAGTCCCACAAGACTCTTGAAGTTACGTATGAAAGGACTATTGTATATGTTATAGGCTATTTGTTAACTTTGAAGATTATCTGCAATATGCATTATAATTTGACTTTTAATTCTCATGAGAAATTGTTGCATTTATTTGTAAGTTACATACATCATTGGATTCATTAAGAGTATTTGCACATTTATTGCATCCTTCTAGCATATGCTTATATGAAGTGTCACTACCAAAATGTAGATTCATATATTCACTGCATACCAATAATTTTTGTAAGGTTTCAATGTACTTATTTTCCATTAGTTCATGTGCCATCTTTGATTATTGTCGATTATTCCAAACAAGTCATATTATCCATTGAGAGCATCATATCTTGGCATAAAAATCAATTTTGTTGTTTACAATTTCACTAACTTGTAAGTAAGCACCACTAGCCTTATATAGGTTCATTTTCATTTAAGTTAGAGCTTGTTATTTGGAAAATCAGAACTTCATTTTTGACATTATATCATTTTTCATATGGTTCAATTTTTATGTTCAATTCAAATTTACAATTCCCTTGCAATCTGAATTTAATGTTGAAATTAGGTCCTGTGCATTTTTGGCTCAAGTTAAGTTCTATTCATTTTAGTTCGTTAAAGTTCTATGCTTTTTGGATTAGTCGGGTCTCTTGTAGATATATAAAGGGAGAGGGAAAGAACAAAAAATCCTTTGCATTTGTGCATCTCCATTGGCATCATCATTTTAAACGCAATCCTCATGATGGTAAAAGACCCATGCATTCCACTATAGCCGTGATTTCATTAGACACCGACCATGCAAGGCTTTCTTTGACATAGTGGGAAGGCTTTGACTCTGGGAATATTCTTAAATAGGGGAGACTCCAGGTGGCTATAAAAAATTTAGTGAACTGGGGACTTAAAAAAATCTACAGGAGACCCGACTGATCCAAAAAATCATAGAACTTTAACGAACTAAAACACATAGAATTTAACTATATATATATATACAAGATTTGAGCTAGGATTTAAGGGGGATTTAAGATAAATCTAGCCAAACAGTTTTTGGAGGTCATCTAAATCCGTCGCCTGTGTAAATCAAGGATTTACGGATTTACAACATAAATCCTGGAAAATCTAATTCCCATCAAGAGGTAGATTTAACATGATTTGGTTGAAGAGGCGTGCCAAAGAAAGAAAGATGGTTACCAAGGCAACGAGCAAGAGCAAGTTCCCCACGTCGTCGTTACTTCTGATCCAATAGATAACGGCGAGGATGTGTAGTTTCAAATCCGACAAGAAGGAACGTCATTGAAGGAAGAAGTTATTAAGTGAATTGTTCAGAACCACCTCTCAAGCGAAGCACGTGAAATCAAATGCCAACGAATAGCCGGAGAAGAGGAAAAGAAAACCTGCTGCCGAGGAAGGCAGTGAAGAACTTGTTAGAGAATATACGCATCAATTATTAATTTTAGATTAATAAAAATTAAATAGGAATATAATATAATTATTATAAGGAATTTAATACATAAATTATTTGATAATTAATTTAACATTATGTGGTTTAAAAATATCTTGAATTTATAAAAAGCTTACTGATGTAATTCAGCTCTTTTTTTTATAATTAAATTTCTAACTAACATAAATCCTAAAATCTGCTGACAAAAAGTATCTAGGATTTAACATTGTCGCACCAAACAATTTGTAGGATTTAACAACCTCAGAATTTAATGAATCCGGTTTTATTAAATCCCACTAAAGTTAAATCCAATCCAACACCGCAGAGGCCCTTTGTGTTAGTATTACTTACTGCTCTTGTATTTAATTTTTACAACTATAGTCGTTGTTTACTATTAACTCCTTACAAGTTAAGTATATTTGTGAATAAATGTTTTGTTTTGAAGTGATAATGGTATAAAATATAGAAGCAATGAAATGCGTTAAAAAAATTTATCAGTTGAAATTATTGTGCAGGCATCTGTTATTTGAAATGGTAGTTCAGTGGTTGACTGTATGATTTATTGGCTAGTTTTTATCTATATTGTATCATTTTTTTCAGAAAAAATTATATCAGATATCTTATTTAAAATTTTGATTAGGTTGTACATCAAAGTTATCCGACATACTTTTTCAATGCATGGAAACTTTATTTTATGCTAATCGTAAAATAATTCTATGGGCTTAGCCCCATCTAAATAACTTTTTTTTGTAAATCTTGATGGAAAATTCTTTCTATTTTAATCCCCTTAATAATTAACGAGGGCTATTTTTGGAGTGTTAAAACATTCTTAAACCGGGATAGAACGTAGAAGTACTCAGAAACAAAATTTCCGAATGAAGATTATGGTATCTAGAGGTGCAAGTGAGCCTAGCTGGCTCGAGCTCGACTTGTTTATGGGCTCACGAGCCGAGCTTATCGAGCTCACCAGTCGAGCTCTAGTTCGAGCTCGAGTTGGCTCAGCTCGTGAGCTCTCGAGCCGGCTCGAATAAATATTAATATTTTTAAAATAATATAATTTTATTTATTAAATTTAAATATTAAAAAATAAATAAATATCACCTAAGCTTCATTTAAATGTTAAACATTCCATAATTTTTTTTTCTAAATTTTGACTAAATTTTAAAAATTCCGCTTAAATTTTAAATCTCGCCTAAATTTAAAAATTCCTACTCATGGCTCACGAGCCGGTTCGCTAGTCGAGCTTGACTCGAGCTCGCTTTTCATCTAACGAGCCGAGCTCGATAAGGGCAAAAACACGACTCGACTCGGCTCGTTTACACCGCTAATTGTATCCCAACTTTATTTTTATTTATTTTAAAGCATGCAACAAACCTTTTTTTTTCATTTTAGTGAAAATTTCATAATTGTTTAACCCTTTCAAGCAACAATTATCATGGAAACTACTGTCTTAGATAGCTCAACTGCAACTACATTGCTCGATTAATCAACCTCAATCATACAGTCAGAACCTAATTCAAGGGGAAAAAAAAAAACCAACCAAAAATAATAATAAAAGCCTGCCTAACCACCTAATCCTTTATCTACTGCTAACAATTGGATGTCATTGACCTCCTACCATCATAATAAAACTTAATTCGCACGCCAGCTGGTCCCTTCAGCATCAAGCAAACCAAAAAATAGAGAATGGGCTACAAGAAGAAATCATTTCCTGTATCCTAACATTATTAGAATCGAACGAGGCTTTCACAAATGCCATCAAAGAAGAAACTTTTCTTCCTTTTCATCCTCATCTCATCCACATTGTCCATCTACAAACTCATCAAAATCACTATTACCGCAAGGAGCCCTTCCATCCGCCTACCAGGAATCCCCTGCTCCCCAAAATACTCACCTTTTGAACCTCACAAGCTCACGCGTCACACAATCTTCCAGGAAGAAGCGCCACTCACCCTCAAAGAGCTCAACCTTCTCTCAAGCATTATAGCCCGAAATCAAAGCCGTAACCTTCTCTTCTTTGGTCTCAATCCGCAATTCCTTTCCCTTGCAGAAGCTAACATCGGGGGCTCGGCGATCTTCCTCGAAGATGATTTTGAAAGGATTCGAAAATTTCACCGCAAAACATATAGAAATGTTGCTGTTCATATGGTCAGATATAATGAAAAGGCTGGCAAAGCTTATGAGCTACTTAAGCATGGAAGAGAGCATAAACATTGTAGTCGAAAAGCAATTAAATATGTTGGTGGCTCAAGATGTAGGCTGGCATTAAGTAGCCTCCCGCAAGAAATTTATGAGAAGACTTGGGATGTTGTGGTGGTCGATGGGCCAAGAGGTGACAAGCCAGAAGCACCAGGGAGAATGGCTGCAATCTACACGGCGGCGATAATAGCAAGGATGGGAAGTGGTACTGATGTAGTTGTGCATGATGTGGATAGGATGATTGAGAAATGGTACTCCTGGGAATTCCTCTGTCAGGAAAACTTGTTTTCTGCAAAAGGGAAACTTTGGCATTTCAGAATCGAGGGGAGCTTTCTGCCTGATGGCTTTTGCTCGGAAAAGAAGGTTCAGGTTCTGTGAGCACGTTTATGCTTCAATGTTGAGGCTAAATTGGAAAAAACTAGAAAGAAAGACAACAGAGCTGGCGGTAATATATATAACAGTACCAATCTCATTTGACAAAAGGTAAACATTGGCAATTCCGTTTATAGTTATACAGCGAATACACGGCTCAACTTGGCCTGTTGGTTGAGAGCTTAGACTTCCAACTAAGAGGTTTGGGTTTGAGTCTTTGTGTATGCGTTGTGTGTTTGAGTTTGCCTTAAATGGCCTAAATGTCCCAAAAAAAAGTTATACAGTGAATGGAGGAAGTATCTTCGTTGAAATTAATTCAGCATATTATAAGAATGATGTCATGCATAAAAGAATTTGGCTACAATTTTTCTGCTGAAATAAATGAAAGATTCTGATTTCTTTTAGCATTTGATTTGCAGGGGGAAAAAACCGAAATACAAGAGTAAGATCACAATAATATAATTGTTCTTGTACCTGAAAATATTTAACTAGACGTGCGCTCTATTTTCACTTTTAAAAATATTTGGAATGCGTATTTATATTTTCCGTAAAAAATAGATTAAGAGGTGTTAAGTCGTGGTTCCATTTTGCGGGATGAAGAAGCGAGGTAATTGGAGGCTAAATCATAACCCAAGTGAGGAGCAGAACTGAGTTATCAAAATTATTGACAATCTTTGAATTTAGATGTATGTATGAGTGTTTCTAAGGAACAAAATTTAGGAGTGCATGTAATAAATATAAATGCGAATAAGAAAAGTAATTACAAAAACGAAGTATGAGACAATTCAAACTGAAAGATTGTGGTTTAACTAGAATCATCCTACATTAACTCCCCAAAATCTCATGCCTAAGAATTCCACTAACTCCATATTTGGTGGTGAATAAGAGAAAATTCAAATTTAGAGGCAGAGAATGTTCCTTGACAATCCCTCTTTCGCTAGGTAAGCAAATCCAAACTCTTCAAGCTATCAATCCAAGCACAAATCACCTTGCGATGTCAAAAATAACTCCAATGAAATGGATGAAATGAAATTTCATACTAACAATAGCCCTCTTAAAAGATTTACAAAGCTATTCCTATATCTTCAACTGAAAGAGGAGAAATATAGAATTCAGCGTAGGACAAATTCTAAGAAATACTTGGAATTAGTTATTAAAATTCCATCTAGGAATAATGACTTTTAGAGGTTTTTTTTTTCTGAAAAGATGCAAATAGCATTAAATAAAGAAACCTAATATAATCTACTAAGTGATAGACAAACTATGACATTCCTCCTTTCACAAAGAAAGAAAGGTTGGAGGAATCTTATTAGAACTAACATCTTTCCAAAAAAAATCACCAAATAAAGCTAAGTGAGCAAACCAATCAACTAGCTTATTACACTTTCTATTTGAAAAATGAAACAAAACATTGCAAATTATTTTAAAAAAGATTGTTCCTCCATCATGTCACTATATTCGTTCCAAAAAGCTTTGCCAGCCAAACCTTGAAGATACTTAATGATATTATAATTGTCTCCCTCTATTATGATGTCTTTAGCTTCCAACATCCAATCTTGAAGAATCATCTTCATTGAACGGAAGGCCAATAGCTCTAATTGGCTACAGTTCTTCCAATGAATGAAACTGATCCCAAAAGCAAGTAAGAACTTTCCCTTGTGGTTTCTAAAAACTCTTCCAATACTAGCCTTATTTGATCTCATTAAAGAAACATCACTTTTGACTTTAATCCATTAGGTAGGAGGAGGGTGCCAAGAATAAGAAAACAGCTGAGGAAGCTCGTTGACACCGCAAAGGTTCGAAAATAGATTAAATTTAGTTGATGTCATCGCAATGCTAATCACATTTGTTGTATGAAATCCGAACCGATGTACATTGTGCTTAACTTTGTGATAGGAAATACTTGAGTTCGCAAGTAACCCTAAGGTAATACTTGAGTTCGCAAGAAAAACTAGTCATGATTAGTACAAAACAGAAGAAAAACTGCTGTCCCAGCAGTAATACAACAGCCACACAGCAGGTTTTGCACCAAAACAGTGGAAATTAGGTAGGGAAAACTCAGATTTTTACTAGTATATGCAAGAAAAAAAAAGTAAGATACAATGTTCTTCAATTCGAGAGGAAGAACCACTCTCCAAAATTCTCTAGCAAAATATCCACGAGTAGATCTAAAAATTTCAGCAAATCTCAAGATAAAACCCTCTTTCTCCTAATTAAAGTAAAAAGAATAATTAAAAATCCATAAACAGCCCCTTAATTCAAATTTTCCCTCCTAAAGTTTAATAAATTCATTGCTTTGGCCCACAAGGGCTCAAAAACACCCCCCCCCCCCCCCCCCCCCCCAACAACCCCCCCCCCCCCCCCCCGATTTCTGCCCAACTTGGGCCTACGGGAGTAAAAGAGGATCGGTCCAAGCTGGACCGGTCCAGCCGGACCCTCCTGGGCCGGCGGCATAATAATACTCTCCTCCCAAAAACTCACCTTGTCCTCAAGGTGAAAGGAAGGAAATTTCTCTTTCATTCTTTCCATTAGCTCCCAAGTAGCATCGAAATTGGGAAGGCATCTCCACCTAATCAACACTTCTTTGTTGTCATCTTTATCTTATCTTACTCCTGTAAGCTCCATAGGCTCTAATATCACTTCTAATTCCTCAATTGTGATACATGAAAAATTGGATGTATGGTAGCTGATGGGGGCAACATCAATCGATACGCCACTGCTCCGATCTTATCCAACACTTCATAGGGGTTGAAGTACCTTGGTGCCAATTTCTCATTCCTCCTTCTCGCCACTTGTTGACCCAAACAACTACAAAAAAAAAATCATGAATTTGATAAGGATGATTCAGCTAGAATGTGAATTGCATTGTGATCTTTGCTTATTATGCAGTGGTTGAGAAAGCAATCAAATGAAGAGCATCAAGTTCTTGCTAATGGAATGGATTTGTACATAAAACATTTCTCTTCTATCTGTAGTGGAGGACGGCGGTATGGGAAAGAGAATTATCTTGCAACATATTTATGAAGATGAAATGGCAGATGAATTTGATCTTAAAATGTGGTTTTGTGTTTCTAACAACTATGATGTGAGAAAGTCGTTGCAAATATGTTGGAATCCCTTAAAAAGGAGAGACCTCGTTTGGAGAAACTTGAGGCATTTTAAGATAGTCTTCGAATTGATATCAAGCCAAAAAAAAAAAAAATCTTACTTATGCTGGATGACTTTTGGGAGGATGATGAGAAGCAGGATAAAAGAAAAAATGGGAAAGTGTGCTCGCCCCTCCGTCTTGTGGAGGTTTGGGAAGTAAAATTTTGGTAATAACTTGGATGGACCTAGTCGCATTGATGATTGCAAAGATTTGGGTCAGAATGACATACTTCCCTTCTTAAGTTTGAACTACATGTTCCCCCAAGGCATCTACAAAATTGTTTTATTCGTCACAATTTCTTATCCAGAGACATGAATAACTCTACAAAAATGCATTACATGCAATTGCTATGGGATGATCTCTCTAGGATGCATAGAATTGGAAACTAAATTCTCTTCAACAACTAAATGGATTTTATGTTAAATATGATAACGGCTTTAGATTTGTAGAGCTGGAGCATATGAGTGAGCCTCGCCAGTTAAGAATTAAACCTCTTCTTTAAAATGTGAAGGATGCCGAGGAGGCTTGCAGTGACAAATTATGTGCCGAGAGGCGAAATTTTATTAATTCAGGGAAAATTTTGATTTCGCCAAGAACGTGCTCGACGACCTTCAACTACCAAAATGTCTAGGGAAATTAAGTGAAAATAAATACATGGGTGCAAGGTCTACGATATGGATGAACAATTTGTTGGGTTGTCCACACATTAAATCTGTTCCTTTGGCTGATGAAATAAGCAAGACTTGCAGCACTAAGATATCAAATAATCGCGAATTACCCCAACCTGACACTCTTGGCAGATATTGAGAATTGGAAATTACTAATAATTGCCATTGTATGCTTAGTGCTGCAAATGAATTAACAATGCCAAAGCATTAACTTTGATTTCAATTTAACAAAAAAATTAAATGAATAAAATCAGAAGTCAAAGGAAACTTCATATCACATTCAATGTTGTTACCTCGTTTTATCAGAAATCCTGTGCTAAATCTCTGCAAGTATCCCTGAAATCCCGCAGTGGCAGTGTTCGCCTCGTCTGAATACAACTCTTCGTGGTTAAAATGAGGCTGGAGAAGGCTTCTCGCGTCTCCGACGCTTCGAGCACTTGCACACTCAAATCCTTCCCACCATTGTCTCGTCCTCGTAGAAGACACCACTAGCCAAGCCGGTCTCTCTAGCATTGGTTTCCTTCTGTAATCGAATCCAAATAGCTGTTGCCTTGTTGGTTCGAACACCTGCTGTTCGTGATACCTAAGAGCCCACCAGCTCTACTTGAGATCCCCGTCTCCCTGAGCTTCGCAAATCTCCTTCAATCCCACGCAATCCAAACCCCTCCTCAAGCCGCATTACCTATTGAGCCAAACTCTCTTGCATCTCTTCAACTTTCCTGCAGCTCTCTACAGTTGAAGCCTTCTACGAACCGTCTAAAGCAAAGCCACGATCCAGGTCGTCAAACCCACGTTGCCACCTCACAGTTGCTCCGAGCCGTTAAACCACGCTTCCTCTAAAAATCCCTGAACCTCCACTAATCTCACCTTGTCCCACAATTCACCGCTGCTTTAAAAAAATAATCAGAAGAAGATCTTATCGTCGAACCCCTCTCCAAGCTTCTCCACTACAAATCTTGCCCGATTTTCCTGCTATTATAGAGTTAGTAAATGGCCGTATAGTTTTTTTTTTTTAATGCAGGAATTTGTCTTCTAGCTTTTATTTTATGTATATATAGTTTTTATGCGTTCATTAGTTTTATGATTAGTAAATTAATTTAGTTAACTAATTTATATTATAGTTAATTAAAATAATTTCACTAACTGTTAATATTATAATTAGTAAATTAATTTATTTAACTATTTTATATTGTAGTTAATTAGAATAATGTCACTAACTGTTAGTTTTTTTTTATTAGCAATTAGTTTATTTAACTGTTGTAGTTAATTAAAATAATTTCATTAACTGTTAGTATTATAATTAATTAAATTACTTTCACTAACTATTAATGTTATAGTTAGATAAATTAATTGCATTAACTATTCATACTATAGCTAACTAAATTACTTTCTTTAACTATTAGTATTATAGTTAGTTAGGTTGTTTTTTTTTAGCTATTTTCTTTTATTCGTTTCGTTGCTACCATCCCCGACACCAGTCCATGCAAAGGTATAAAAATTCTAAACTCAGATTTCCATTCTCGTCATTGGCGGCGAACTAGCAAACCCTCTATGCACTCACGTAGCATTGTGGGGAGGG